TTTAAGAACACACAATAGAAACTAAATATATAATAAATATTTGTTATAAATAATAAAATATCATAAAATTTAATATATTAATAATATTAAATATTATATCTTTAATAAAAATTTACTATTTTAACATGTATATTAGAATACACGTTAAAAAAAATGATTGTTAAAATCGATTGCAATTGAGACTATGGATAATGAAACGGTCATTGTTAGTTATTGTTTTTCTTCTTCTTTTTGTTTCCATTGTATAAAAAGGTGATGACAATGTCATTTTCTTTTCATTCGGAAAAATTAATTCAATTGTGTAAAGGGTCAGTGACACTGTGACAGTAATAGTTCGGCTCAACATGAAGACAAGTAATAAATTAGACTCTGCTGCTGTGGTAGAGTCCTGAAAATCATAATACTCTACAAATTGGGGTATTAAAGGTAATAAATGTCATTATTTAAACTAACAAAAAAACTATCTCATGTGATATTGTATATTAATATCTTTATTGTTTTTACATACATAATCTAAAAATACATTGTAAATATAAATGAATTACCTAAGACTTTTAGTGATCATAAAACATTTTCTTAAACGTAATAGCTGAAATAATTTGTTTTTGATAATATTCTCAGAACTATATCTCTATTTTGGGAAGAGAAATTTAAGAGGGAAGGACATAAATTTATATTTTAAATAAATATATTTAAAATTAATATTTTTTAAAAATAAAATATATAATTAATATCTTAACAAATATTTAATATATTAATAATGTATTTGTCATGGTAAATAACATATAATTCTTTTAATTTAAAATTAAAAAATATGTCCTCCCCTCCTATCTCTTCTAAAAACCTCCTTTCAAACAACTCCTTAGAGATCTTAATTTTTAAAATGAAAAAAATAAATGTATGACATGCCAAACTTAAACAAATTATTAATAACTGATTATATAGCCAACATATAATTAAGTTCCTACAAATCCTCTATATATCCTAATTTCCATTCTACCTTTTGTGATCGAGTTTAGTAATCTATGATCAAGTGGGATAAATGTCTTCATTTTTCATGTTCCAGATTGGTCAAATAAAATACAATTCTCAGAAGATTAAACTTTCATATTGTATTCTAAAAATTTATGGCTGAATGCTATTAGCGGCTAAAAATATGGTTTAGGCGAAATCCACCAAGGAAACAACAAATTTCTCTTATCAAGCATTCGTCACTCATTTGCACCCTTACTCTATATAAGCTCATGCTCAATCCCTTCAGATAAGTAACCCAACTTGAATCCTGAAGTGTCTTCTGCATGTGTTATCCCTACCCTCCACATTACTTATAATTTAATATCTTTGAGTTAGATGTATCCAATTTTATCTGAAAATTTATTTGTAGTCAATTAACAAAAATCTTCCCACTCAATTTGAGGGAAAACTTTGCACTTATACTATAGATAATTAGGATTAGGATGAATTCACTAACCAAATTCTTTTACACAATTCCCAAATGCAATCTCACATTAGGTTAGGTCAATGACAAACTTTTATTGTTTCACTGATTCAATCCAGTCTGAAATTAATTTTGATGAATTTGAGTTTCAAAAATTTGATTTGAGGTGATCAAAGATGGGTTTGGATCACCCTTTAGTTCTCTAAACCTGACCCTAGGCTTTTAAATCTATAATTTTGCTAAGAGTTATATATATATATTAATAATATCCATCAATAACGTTTTGTATAACATAATATCATATTTATATATTTCTTTTGTTTTAAAAAATATATTTTAATTTTTAGGTAATAATTTTTAATCCAATGATTAATTATATATAATGTTCATTTTTTTATTTTATTGCAAACAAAAAGGCCAAAGTATTAATTTGCATTTTGAAAATTTAAACTTAAAAATAAACTTTAAATATAAACTAATTCAATACTTCTCAAAATATCTTGATCCATTGAAATTATTCGGAGCTTATACACTCTTGTATAGTTGCAGAAGAGTGTAAAATAAATTTTGTGTAAATAATTTACTAAAAAGTATGTAACTCAAAAAGTAGCGTTGAAGGGGAGTAATGTCTCTGACCAAAAGAGGGGGAGAATCACGTTTGAAGTTGATAGATTGAAAATATTTTAAAAGCAGATGTGGAAATTGTTTTATTGCAATTGCAACGCAAACCAAAAAATTAAAAATAAAATCGTTTAAAGCATTGCACATATAAATTTTTCATATGGCTAGGGTTTTTTTTTTTATCAAAAATTATGCTGAATTGCATTAAAAAATTAAAAAAGATATATTTATTATTTTTTACAACAAAATTACTTTTAATTTCTCAATTAATGCATTAATATATGCCTTTCTATAATACCAATCGCAAGGCATTTGATTAGCGAGCATGTCAATTTTTTTTTATCAAGAGCATTTCAATTTCTCAAATGTTTGAAAACAATTGGGTATATCAGGAGCATTTCCATTTTGCTATTCGTACCGCTTCTTTATATATTTTTAGAATTTATTTTTCAAAGTGTGTTACTAATTTAGAAATTAAATTTTAAAAATAATTTGTAAATCAATTTTATAATTTAATTTTTTGAAGTGATTTTATACCTACCTTTTCAAAAATTAAATTGCAAAAAAAAAGGTAAAGCACTTCTGAAATTTTATTTTTGAAAGTGCTTTTATATGTTCTACAAATTAAATTCTGAAAATATATTAGGAATATAACTTTTGAAATGTATCGAAGATACTTTTGAAAATTAAATTTTATAAGTGATAAAAAAAGTTGTATAAATAGCAAAAATGGTACAAAAAATACATATCTACAGAATTATCATCGCAAAGTGGACCGGGTTAGACAATCTGTTCATGGTTTAGTTGAAGTTGTGAGCTTCATGCTCTGTTTATCTTTTCCGAACAAAAAAGAAGAAGATCCAAATGCCTATAATTTGTTCTGACAAAAAACAAATGTCTATAATATGCAAAACCAACAACTATCATGATCTTGAACCAAGCCAACAAACAACTATCACCATAAAAAAAATTCGAATTTAACACAAGAAATTTTTGGAAAGCCCACACAAACAGAAAAAGTTTTGAGAATTCAAAATCGCTTTGCTCATTTTCTTGTGTTTCTCAAAGGTGACATAAAGTAAATTTACTTCACATAAAGAAAGTATTGCACTATTAAAATTCTAAACACAATCAATTTTGAACCTTTGAAATTACATTTCCTAAATTCCTTTTTCATTAAAAAAGAAGGGCTAAAAATGCCCCCATGTCCAAGGGTTTAATCTATCTATCTATTCTTCTCAAGTGTCCATCTCCGCTTGCTATGTGAAGCTATCTGTTTGGGGAGAGAGAAATATAATCATGAGATTCGATTATCATGAACAAGGCAGAAACAATAATACACAATAAAACAAAGCCATGTCAGTGAAACCTGAAGTTATGCTAAGACAAAGAAAGAGAAGGATTAACCATGTAATAGAAAAAGGGTTCTAGATGATGAGTGATAAAGTAACTTGTTTAGAAATTAAAAAATTATAAAGTATATTTAATGTATCAGAAACTTAAAAATCTTTATTTCCTATTCGATATATTTTATTTTTAAATCCTTAACAATTATCTTAAAAGGGGTTGATTAACATTTACTTAGAAGAAATAAATCTTTTTTTTTTATTTGATAGCGAGATTTCTTCTATATAAGGACTTGGGCTTGATTAAGAATCGTTTAATTTTGAGAAATGATGTTTCAAAATTTTCTTACAAATTAAAAAAATAAACTATTTCTTTAAAATAAATTAAACCAAAGATATATGCAGAGACAAAAAAATAAAAAATAAAAAACTAAGGCGCAGGCCATAAACTAGGTAACAATGGTTACAAAAACTTAACCTTTTCTTTGTTTTTAAAGGCTGCTATACATCATAATTATAACTAAGTGTGAAACCTAAACCAGCAGACTAATAATACACATTCTTAACAACAATTATAATAAAATTTCCCATTTTACATCATAATAAGCATGAAAAAGTGTTGAATAAACAACAGTATTGACCAATGAAACTCCATGATACTACAACCCTTAGATTTACAACCAAGTACGGGTGAGATGGTTTTCTTTTAATACTTTCAATCATTTCAGAGCTATATGCAGCATTTGATACAAGTCAATCAATCATAATAATCTCTAGTACAAAACTATATCCATCACTGATTTTCTTGCAGCTCTTTTTGACGAGGCAGAAATTCTTAGGCAAAAGGTATGTTTTGAGATCTGTAGAGATGGTAGAAAATTTTATCTTATAGCAGTAAGATGTACTTTACATCCCATCCCATCCCATCAACTCAAAATGTGTCCATTTTCTGCTCAGTCTTACTGCCTTAATTCTTAACAATTTCACATGTCTAAAATGTTGCCAACCTTTTCCCCCAACAAACTTGCAATAACATCCTACTTTACTCTCCTTTGAAAAATGTGACCTATAAATAGATGTGAAGGCTTATTGACGAAGTAGCAATAGGTTTTTTTAGGTTTACAGAGAGAAGGCAAATATATCATAGTACAAACACTTGAATGAGTGTTGAGTTCACCAAATTTGTGTTTAGGATACGTGGAATTAAACCATTTGTCTTATTAGCAAAGAAAAGACTTTACATTTACACAAAAGATCAAAACCCAGTTTGGCATGCCAAAACTGCTACATTTTACTTCAAATCAGATGCCAAAAAAACAGATAAAACCTAAGTACTAGGAAGCACTCAAACCAACTTTTCAAGCAAATTTCATAACAAAAGTGTAGAGTTATATCAGTGATAGATCCAAGCGAGAATCAAACATGCACAGAATATTGCTACCTTTAAGTAAACATAATAATTAGAAAGAATTAATTGCAATTGCACAACAGCACGTAAATAACATACAACAATAATAAACTATTAAGATAACACAAAAACTAAACAATGAAACAACGCAGAATAACATAACCTCCTAAAAGAAACATGAAAGAGGCTAACCAGGCGCAGAAGAACGCTTGGAGGCATTGATTCTTTGCAAGCGAACCTGCGTTTCCATGAAGAGCTGCATCCTCTGGCACTCCAAATCCTTAGCAAATTGCATTCTCTGTTTCTCCAACTCCACCATTTGCCTCTGCTTCGCTTCTTCCACTCTTTCGTATATCTCCCCAAACCTCTCTAACGCTTCTGCAACATCTCTGTACCCAAATTCCCTCTTCCTCTTCCTCCTCTTTTTACTCTCACTGCTCCATTTCGAGCCATTCGAATTTTCACTGTCCGCTTCCGCCGCCGCAAAGGCAGAGAAATTCCGCCGGAAGTACGAATTGTCCACACTCGCCGGCGACGTCGCCTTCCCCGCCGGCCGCTTCTGCGTGCCGGATCGAGGACCGACCGGGACGAGCGCCCAGGACGGGGACTTCGCCGGAGGAGTGTTCCACCGATTGCCGGTGATTGCCGGCGGCGAGGGCTTCTTCGCCGGAAAAGTGTCTCCGATGAGGAAATCGAGTTGGAGGAAGAACGGCCAGGCGGTGGCGGAATCGCCGGCATCGGAAACCCTAGCCTTCTCGATCTTGTACTTCTTTTTGAGCGTGTCGATTCGGTTCTTGCACTGCACGTCGGTGCGGTGCGCCTTGCTGCTCACGTGGCCGTGGCGGGCGTTGACGGCGTCGGCGACCTCTTGCCAGTGCTTCTGACGGAGGTTGCCGCGGTTAAGTTCGAGGTAGCGTTCGCCCCATGCGTCGATGAGCGTGAACGTGGCGTCCTCCGACCAGCAATCTTCCCGGCCGGGGAACGGCGACGGTCGCGACGACAGAGGTGCGACGATGTGCGGCGGAGCTCCGGCGAGGGAGTCCATTATGCGCGGTGTGGTTGTGAGAGCGTGTGTTTTGGAACGGTGGTCTTTGGTGTTACGGTGAGTTCGGTTTGTTCAGAGGAACCTTTGCCAATGTGCTACGACGTTGGGCGATTAACGTGCGGGAAGCAGTGTTTTTTTGTTTTTTTTTGGGTTGGTTGCAATGGGATAGCCCGTGGGCCAAAGCCAGTTTCGAATTGTTTGATCCGTGATGAGGTTTGGACAAATGGGGAATGTATTATGATGGGCTTTAAATGGTCCAAGCTAATCCCCTTTATTGGGGACTGGATGGGGCGGAAGTGAGAGTTGCGTTCTTGGGCTTGAAATTGCACCAGATTCAGCAGTGGCTAGCTACACTTTTGTTGGATTTATATTCAAGACCATAATTTTTATATTGATGTCCAACTGTTGATACTTGATGGTTGAACATATCTCAAATTCATATTTATAAAAATTGGTGACGAACACGTTAATTTCAGTCAGTGAAAATATAACAAATTTAATTTCTAAAGAATTACAAATAGTAATTATATCAGTCATCCTTAAAGACTAATTTAGCTCGTGTTTAAAGAATAATCGACTTTTTTAATTATCAGCAACTTAGATACAATTTTACATTATTGGAGACCAATGTCTATTTTCAAGTTTATTAAAACCAAAATTTGAGTTTACTCTTATTTGCTTCTCAATGTCTTGATCTAATTATTGTACTTATGTAATTTAGTCTATTTGATTGATAGAATTTGATTTTCAGTCATTGATTCTGACAGTTACTGAAATCAGTCTATTTGTCAAGATTTGGTCAAAATCAGTCTTAACCTCGTCCCAGTTCCTCCAAGTTTGTTCGCTACTACTAATGTTATTAATGGTTCCTCCTCTGACCCAAATATCTTTCGAGATGTTGAATCTTTCCTTAAACTAAAGCTTTCTCATTCTGGTAACAACTCTACTGTCCTAGTAACCACTCCAAGTAATAATCATTGGTATTTTGACTCAGCATGTTATAATCGTATGACTTCGTCCTCTGACCTTTTAATCTCCACTCGTAGGAATATTTTAAAAATGTAGGTATAAAAGCGAATAATTATAATATTTGAACATTATTTATTTATTCAGTGATGAATTGGCACCCTAAGTCAAGAATTTCTGACCATCACTAGACGAAGATATGAACCATAAGAGTCTCTCACCTCCAACTGTTAGCTTGCTAGAAGAATGGTATACAATGAAGAAAATCCTTATTTATGTTCATGACTTCTTTGCCTCAAAATACCAAATGTACAGTTGAGGGAGAATTATTATCCGAAGGGCGACGTAAGTATAGAGGTGAGGGTGAGTTCATGCGACTACTTTGAAAATGCATTAAATAGGCGGCGAATCCATCACTGAATTGTTATATACTCCGAAAAACTCCGAAGCTAAACAGGTAGGGCTGTAAGAAACAAGTTGTTCATCAATGCGTAGAACTTACTACTGACATCATGCCATTTTTTTGGCTTATTTCTTTTTCCTCGATTACATTTTCATCTGTAAAAATGATGTCCAATTTTTTACTCGAGAATAATGTTCTGCATTCAGACTAGAAATAGAGTCGCTCATTTCATTGCATAGAAATTGGTTTATAGAGATGGATTGAACTAATCTTCCTCTCATTGCCGCCAAAAGAGACGAGTTTGCAGCACAGGGGTAAGACAACGAGTATTGATTCATTTCCACGTCTTCTGAGAAAAAGAACAAAATTCACGAGTCCACAACAACAGCCGATAATACAATGTACCAACTCTACCCAATGTTTTCTATGTACAGAAGATATAAAATGCATCAGCACAATGAGTACTCAATGTCCACCAAACGAGAAAGAATCTCCTCACAACTTGGGCGCTCATGGGATTCTGCCCAACAGTCTGCAGAAAGAAACAGAAGTAATTAAGCTAAAGCAGATGGTTGAGTTCTGATACAAACGTGTAATAAGGATAGGGGCAGGGACCTGAAATTAGCCTGCCTAGAGGGCCTTCTGGAATGTCCAATCTGGAACCCTCATTTGCAACGGAATAAACTACCTGATGAGCAGAGAAAAGTAGACAAATTTTCAATAGGCACATGACAGAAACAGAAATCTCAAAACAAAAGCAATATGTAGAATATACCCTCTCAGGTGGCACGCCTTCCCATGGTCTGTTCAAGGTGCACAGTTCCCACATTATCACCCCAAGGCTAAAGATATCACATTTTTCAGTGAATGGTTCATTTCGAATAAGCTCAGGAGCCATCCATTCTGGAGTTCCAGCTGATGAAGAATCTCTCATGGGAGAGTCTGTTATTATTCTTGAAAGCCCAAAATCACATATTTTCACGGTCCAATGCTTATTCACTAGACAATTTGCACTTTTTACATCACGGTGAATAATCTTCATACGGTGTATGCACATCAAACCCCTACACACAAGCGGGTTTTTCTCATTAATATTGACAGATCAAATGTAATTTTTCCAGTATCATGGAACAACTAACATTTGAAATAGGCTAATTTCAATGTTTACTTAGATTGTGATTAAAGAGATGAGAATAAATGAATTTTAAACAAATTATAAGTATTAAATAACAAAATGAAATGATATTATCCAAATAAAAATCCCGACTTCATAAAACTAGGTCAATTCAATAACTCTCTCTCTTTGAAAAGAAAGCCCAATCTAAAAAGTGAATTAACAATACCCCTAGAAAGCTCACTTCTAATAGGTTATCACTTTTACTGCTTTCATCGTATTCTAAGTTTTTAATGCTGCCGTTGATTGCATCAAAAAGAGGAACGGTCGTCCCCAATGAGGCCATAAGCGACCAGACAATGTGCCGTGGGATCAGGCCACCTCTGAACAAAACACCAATGCAATATAAGACTAGTGTTTGCAATGTGCTGACAGTAGTTCCGAAAGGCGTGCAGAAAATGCTGTTTGGATCATCACATCTGGCACTGGCATCTGGACCAGCATCCACCAAGTTCGTCATCTTACATTTAGACTGCCAGCACCAATCCTTAAAACAGGCAGAAACTTGTTCGGTTGTCCTTGTCGCATGGACTGTTTTAGCCTTCACTAGAAAATACCGTTTTAAACCAATGAACAATCAGTTCTTACCAGTTCACTCAGTTTTGCTCCAATTCTTCGTTACAAAGTTTTCTTCTGGGTTTAAGCAACTAGGCACACTAAAAGTTAACAAGTTTTTTGTCAAATCAGCCAGTCTAATCCAGTTATCATTGGGTACTACATCCTCTCCCAAATTACTATTAAGAAAAGAAAAGAGATAATACATGAAATTTGACACCACAATTTCACTTCAACAAATAATGGCTTGACTGAAATTGTAGGTCATCTAGCTTTTGTAACTGGTGATAGTTTATAAATAAAGCTCAAAACTTGAAAAGAGCAGTAAATCTCAGGAGAAAAGCTAGCAACACACTATTTGTCACTCCAATATTCTCCCATATAGGGCAAAATTCCATGGGCCAACTAATAGAGACTGAGCCTAAGTTATTTAGTGAGATCCACATGAGATTTCACATTTTCACCCAATAATAACGTATTGAAAGGAAAGTGTCAGTATGTTCCAATCATTTCTCGAATCCTAGTTATCTTTCAATAGCGGGGAAAGGCATTATTTCCTTTTCACTATGGGTTCCTTTCATCTCAATATTCCAAGGTTAATTGAACAAATATTTATTTTATCACCATCTACATTCAATAACAAAAAAAAGTTTAACACAGACAAATGACTGATTTATCAGAATCTCAAGGGAAACAGAGTGAACAGCGCAATTTTATGATGTATTGGAAGGCAATGAAGCAGTGATTACCGTGTAACACCTGTTGAACATAAATGCCGATGAAAAGGATAAGATTCTGAAAAGTATGAGTAACCATAACACTTACTTGCATATGTCACGCAACATTCTTAGTCTTCTCCGCCAACTAAGCTTTTTCTTTTGGCCACTCAAATGTATCAAGTAATACAATGATCCCATCTCCATATATTCTGTAACCATTGACAAGCGGGGAGGCTTTGTGCAAGCACCGAGAAACAATATAACTGCATACAGTTTCACCATTCAATAAATAACAGCAGAACTCAAAGGAAGCTACATGTTTGTTATAATCAAGAATGCATAATATTATTCTCATTACTTCTGAGTAAGGAAAATTTTATTAAAATAATTATTCCAGTTCAAAAAATAAAACAGAACAATTCAGGTTTCATTCCATTAATTAGCATATCTAAAAACCAAAATGATCAAGAATAATGTGAAAGTCACAACTAATAAAAGCAAGGATGTTGGAGAATACCATTAGGATGTCGGAGCCGACTGTAGGAAAATAAATACCAAAATTCAAAAAGAAAAGAAAGAGTCAGAAAAGGTTGGATAGAACAGAAAGACGCTGACAAACCAATGGTGAGATACCTCAGTATAGATATTTCATTGCAGAAATCTTCCATATTTTCAGCAGTTAAATCTTGCTCTAGAAAAACCTTGATTGCAACGTCTGTGCCATTCCATATGCCACGGAAGACTTCTCCAAAGAAACCTGAGAAAGAACAATACATCCATGATCAAGCAACTATTTTTTTACTAGATCATCAGTCAAGAACAATCCATTGAAACAGTAACTGACCATAAATACAATAATTTTTCTAAAGTTGAATAGCAGTTTCTGCTTAAAATTGCATTTCACATATGCACTACAACTAAATATATCCACTCCTTTCTAACAAAGCAAATCTCCACAAGAGATTTCCATCTTGTACCAATTGAAACCTAAAATCAATTGTTTCAAGCTAATTTATACCCCAAGGGAACCCAAAACACAAAATAGCATATTCCAAAGGTTTTATACCCCAAGGTGTAACACACTCATTTTGTTATTTATTATTATTGCATTTTATATTAGTTATTTGTGCATGTTGTATGAAATTATGAATGTTTAATTAATGTGAACTGCAAGATATCTTGCTATTCAGAGACAAGTTATCCAGAATCAGACTCTCTGTAGCTCTTTCACTGTAGCGAGAGGGTCTCGCTGTAACGAGAAGTGGATAAGGATG